CTTTCTTGGATGCTCTTTCTTTTTACTTAGTTCTGTCAGAGTAGTTTAGAAGACCACTTTTGTGTAAAATCAGTTTTCTTATTTGGTCGATTTTGTGTTTAGATGATTAGCAGAGAGAGTTCGTGTTCGTATTTAATTCACATTATTTATTTAAAAACATAACTCTTTAACTGTTTTGATATTAATTTGATTTAAGTGTTCATTAAAATAGTTGATTTTTATTGTTTTCAATTCAGATTGTATTATCTAAATAAGCTACTTTTATATTAAATCTACAGTAAAATTTTAAAATAAATCAGTTATAATTTAGAATTATTTTTCTTTTTATAATGTTAATAATTATTGCAAGATTAACAGCATAATAAATAACATACTATACCAAAAAATACTTAAGGAAGATTTAATGTAAACTATTAAAGATCATGGTTTTGATATTAAAGAATATCACATTTAACAAGATGATATATCTGACAACCTTGATGGAATATTGACTTAAAAGAAATAAAATTTGATTTTTTGATTATCCTTCTAATCCCTAACCTTAATCTCATTGAACATCTGTAATGTGAAATTGATTGTCATTTCAGAAACCTTTCTGACCAAATTTCAAATAAGAAGGACCTTTGAGAAAAGATTCAGTAATCTGGCAGGTGATTAATGTTAAAACCTGCACAAGGCTGATTCGTTTAATGCCAGAACGAATTCGCGATGTAATTAGAGCCCGGGGCGCTACACCAGATGATGAAGACCGAAAATTATTAAATAGCAAAGAAATTTTTTTTTGATGTAAAAATTTTTTTTGTTTTATAATCGTGTTGCTGTAAAAACGAGCAAAAATAATGCAACACGTGAATTGAAGTGCCCGCGAAAAACTTTGTTCATTAAATTTTTTAAATTTTTTATTGATGAAAATATTACTATTTACGAATAAATAAAATAAAAATAATCGAATACACCCAGAATTGCGAAAGATAATACGGTCTAACTAAAAATTTTTTTTGTTGCATTATTTATGATTGCCACTGTATATAGGGTCGCTATACGTAGCAACGGGTCACCATTTATAATTTTTCTTAAAAATATTTCTTTTATAATTATACTTTAACCTAACCCTATCTCTAACCTTAATTTTAACTTTAATATACTCTAATATAACTAAGAATTCTCTTTATACTTAAGGGATGAGTAATTTACCCAGGTGTCAAATAAATTATTTTATATATTTATTATAACTAGCTTTATTTTATAAATATATAATACAAGTACGCACTATATATATGTACTATATAAAATTCTTTTTATTAAAGCGGAATAAAATTTAAAATATGTAATACGTATATAATTTTTTTTTTTTTATAAATCATAGAAACAAAAAATGTATATCAAATATATGAGTGTTGCTAAAAGAAAACCCGAAATTTAAATATAAGTTATATTTAAATTTTCGGGGTTTCTTTTAGCGACACTCATATATACTAACGCTAAAGTACTTGCTTTAAATGCTACTGAGCTTTTGATAAACTAGTTACACGGCATCAAATTCCGAAAATCACATGATTGATAGGGGGGTTTTTTTTTTGTTTACAGCAAAATGCTAGACCGCAATTCTGATATATATATAAACATTAATTATTCGTTTGTAGATTTAACTTACGCTTGTTAACGTCTACAGCTTTGTTATCCACTTTTAAGGTAAACACTTATTTTTTGCGCGTTAAAAGTGTTTATAAAATCGATGGCAAACGAACTGCCAACATCTAACCTTGAAAATCAAAGGTTAAATATAATAGAGCCAGCTATGCCCCCTACACCCGTTCTCACCGACCCCCAGTACAAAATTGGTGTTGACACTAAGACACCAAATAATATAGATGAAAGCTCAAATATATATAAATGTAAGCATATCATGTGCACGCTTCTGTAATTTGCGACGTACGAGTACTATCAATAAAAAAAAATAATAAAGATACAACAAAAAAAAAAAGACGACTTTGATGAACATTAATTTTTGATGAAAATCCTAAAATCCTACATATGTTGTTTGTTTAATCTTCATGAAATTAGCCAATGAATTACAATCAGATGTTTCACGTCAAGACCATATCAGAATATTCGATCCTCTGAATCTTCCGAATGAAATGGACATTAACGCGAAAGATCATTCTAACAAAGACACGGCATCTAATGAAAATATCGGTGTCGCGGCCAAATCAGAAGCTTCAGTCGAAAAGAAAACACGTGGTCGTAAGAAAGTGAACATAGTTGATAAAAACGTAGTTGTAGGCACTAATATTGAAACTAATTCAGAGGAAAAAGGAGGCAATAAATCACAAGAATTAATCGTCAGTAATGATGATGCGGAGGCCGCAACATTAGAAAAATCACAACAGGGCTATGAAGGAACTGAAAGACCTGATAACGATAAGGATGTTAAATTACCTGAAAAACGAGCTCGTGGGCGCCCCAAAAAGGAAGTCAGCAACGGTACAACTGAGGAATCGTCAAAAGTTCGGGGAAGGCCAAAAAATGACAAGATAGTTACTGCTACCGTTAGTAACGACACTAATTCATCAGAAAAACGTCGTGGTCGTCCAAAAAGGGAAGGAATTAATGTCACTTCTAATAACGTGACAAATTCAATCGTAAAACGCGGCCGTGGTCGCCCAAAACAGAGCGAGTCTAGTAGCGTCGCCAATGTTTTACAAAAACGAACTCGCGGACGCCCAAAAAAGGAGAGTGGTGGATCAATTTCTATCGAAAAACGTAGACCTGGTAGGCCGAAAGCTACCAATAAAGATGTTTTTGATGGACCGACAAGAACAGATGATGACGATAAAGCCACTACTTCTGGTTTAAGTGAAAAACGTGGACGAGGTCGCCCAAGAAAAAATCCACTCTTGTCACAAATTGGTAAATCAAAGAAACGTTCCATGCCAGATAAAAGTTCCAATGGCACGCCGAAGCCACGCGGTCGCCCCCGAAAGATCACAACTAAAAAAGAAGATGTCGATGTTAGCAATTCTGGATCTGAAACCAAAATACCTAACATCGATACTGCTGTTCCCGCTGAGGTCTCTACGGCTAAGGGTGACCAAACTGAAAATTTGGCACAAAGTACAGATTCAAATAAAGACCCTTATGCTACTCAGGTTGATCCTTTCGAATCTTTAAATGCCGTTACATTAAATGAACAGGAGCCAATTCCAACGGGAACCGCCAAAACTTCTAATGGAGAGTCCGTTAAGAAGCGCGGACGTCCAAAAAGGGATGATCAAACAGAACAAGAATTGACTAAAAAGGTCAAGGCATAAACGTACCAAGCGTTCGTTTTTTCGTATTTTACTGTATTGTATTTACACATTGCAATCGATTGTATTAGACTTGTTACGTATCTTGATCAAGAATGCATTTGTCTAGTTTGAGTTTACAAAAATGTGTAATTACCGGGTTAGAGCGATCATAGTTTCTACTATGTACATGTATTCATGAGGTTGAAGTTATGAATCGTGATTACTTTCTGTAAGTATTTTTTGTTTTCAAAAGCAATATTACGAAGGTAGATATATTAAATAAATAAAAAATGGTTAAGCGCTAATTCTAAAGCGTTCAGGATTAGGTCCGAATAAATTCTATTATTGGACAAGTTTTAATATTATTTGTCTTTGTGCCCGAACATATCATAATTACTTTACAAATACATACTGTAACATTACTACTAGAATATATCATTTACCTAAGTTAGCCGAATAGAATCCGTAATTTTATTTTGGCTAAATTAATTACTAACTCTTTGCAAAATGCATATTCCTAAATAACGCCCGGTGTTATTTTGACAAATACGGGATCGAGTAATTGTCGATTGAAATCGGTCTAGTCGACTAAGCATAGTAGTTACTATACGGATTTTTTGGTCAACTAAACTGATTCCAATCTATATATTCCCTAGAGTGTTATTTTGGCAGATACGGAAATATCGATAAAGGCACACATGATACATCGGCTAAATTGTAATGATATTTTTTATAAACATATTTGTATCTACAAACTTTATTTCAAAAAAATTTAATATGAGCATTTAATTCATAAGCATTAGGCACAAAATTACTGGCCATTGTTATAGTCAAGTCATTAAATCAATATATTCAATGAATCTGATTTATTTCCGTTCATCCATGAAAATTTTTCTTACACCTTATAACCACGAGAAGCTCGACGACCACGAGCTTTTTCGAATTTTCTACCTTTGGATCGAACATAAGGTCTTGTAGTAAAAAGTGAAATAAGAAAAATTATTAGAAACTTATAACTAAAATAACAATATGACAAGGTGACATACTTGGCATTTTTATGAGGTCCCATGCCAAAGTGCTTAACGGCTTCTCGAGAATTCTTAGGGCCTCTAAGCAAAACTGTGTTTGAACCGGTAGGAGCACGCAAAGCCAATTGGTCTAAGGTAAGAACTTCGCCACCAGCCTTTAAAATCCTAGCCTTGGCTGACTTTGTGACACGAAGTGCTGCAACAGTAATTTTAGGGATTTCTAACACCCGATTATCATCTGTAACCGTGCCAACAACCACTGCGATCTTATCAGGTTTATCCTTTACATTACATAAAAGACGGGAGATAGAGATTGGAGGTTTGTTAACGCGTGACATGTAAAGTCGCTTTAATATGACCTTGTTGAATTTGGAATCAGTTCTTCGTGCCAAGAACCTATAAAGCTAGATAAAATGTGGTTTTTAAAAAAAAAAAGTTATCCTAAAAACTATATAACATTAACTGTGAAATAATGCATTTTCGATTCACACCTTCACCAACAATCGAAGGTAGACATCTTCACTCTTTGGTTCAGTTCGATTCCCGTTCTTCACGTGGTGTTTCTTGATGTCAATACCCTGATCGTAATATCATTTATCGTTAGATACGTAATTACTCATAACAAAATAAATTATCACACTTAAAAATTAGAATCCTCTAGATAATTGTTTTTTGAATTTCTAAAAATGTAACCTGATGTCGTTTTAAATCATATGTCAAGTAACAAATAGGTTATAATACAAGTTGGAAAAAAAATTTGTATTATTGTCAATCTCTTGAATCAAACATTTCAAATTGAATAATATTTGCCGATACAAGTAAGAGTTTACAAAAAAAAACTCGGATGGAAAGAAATTAAAGCGATACTTGGCTGATGGAAGCGTACCATTGTCGATTGACAAATCCCGCGGTGAAATGAAAAGGAGGATCTAGTGCTTTTCGAATTACTCTCTTATTTCGGATCCGTTACACATAAAGCTTGATCTATTTCACGTGATGACGATCGTTTGTAGTTATACGCAATGATGCTATGATTATTCATTTCAATCATGGATCACTTTTCATTTAATTTGGGAAAGCCTCGTCATGAAATGACTGATCGACGCAATATCTTTCAAGTTGACATAAAGCCTAGAAGCGAAAGTTCAACAGATCCGATCACGAGAACTCAGTGAGTTTCTTATGTTTAGCTGTTCAACTTATTACCGGAAATTATAATAATTTATGTCACTTCATAGACGACCCATTGTAACGGGTACGTCAGTGATTGCTCTTAAATACCAGGATGGTGTAATGTTAGCCGCAGATAATTTAGGTGCGCTCATAAATTCATGATACAAGTATTGTGTCATATTTCAATATACATAACATGAATAATAACATAAAGTTGTCTTTATCAGCATCCTATGGTTCCCTTGCTCGCTTTAAGGATGTCGAGCGTCTTTATCCTGTTGGTGAATTCACGGTAATTGGTGCATCAGGTGATATTTCTGACTTCCAGTATACGAAACATCTTTTGGATGCCGAAATGTAATGAAAAATTTTGATTTTAGGTTTATTTTATCGTAATTATTGAAGATTCTAATAGACAATTATCTTCATAGGGTTAAAGAATATTACATAAATGATGGCCATGTTCTTGGTGCACCACATATATATGAATATTTAAGTCGTGTTATGTACAATAGACGGTCTCAAATAAACCCTCTTTGGAATGCCTATGTTGTTGGTGGATATCACAATGGAGAAGGGTACGGATTATTTTATATTTGCGCATGTATCTCAGTAAAATATTGATTTGCTAATTGATCCATGTGATAAAGATTTCTCGGATATGTTGATCTACTAGGAACAACGTATAAATCTTCTAGTATTGCTACTGGTTTTGGTGCTTATTTAGCTCAACCCATTCTTCGAAAGGTTGTTGAAGGTCATGAAAATACTCTTTCAGAAGAAGAAGCCATAAATGCTATTGAAACGTGTATGAAGGTCTTGTTCTATAGAGATGCAAGAAGTCTTAATAAGGTATGTTCTTATCGCCCAATTTAATTATTGCTATTCATACGTCAATAATAATATTATCTGATTTTTTTGGTTTAATATTAGTTTCAACGTGCCAAAATTACAGCTCAAGGTGTCGAGATTACACAGCCTTATTCAGTGGACACTGAGTGGTCATTTGCCGAGGGACAATAATTTCAGTGATGGTCATCAAATTTTTTATAAAATGAGCGTAATGATATGTCGTTTTAAAATTGACAATGTTATTTTTCTAAAAAAAATTTATACAAAATCATGGCAAGATGACTAGTCAAAAATGTTTTTCTCAATGACAAATAAATGACAATAATACTAATATTATTTCCAATAAGCCAAGATGTTAATCTTTGTAAATTGTACTTGTTCTTCATTTTATATGTCATTCATAGATTAGAAAACAAATTGTCATTTTGCAATTAAATTTAGGGAAATTCTATTTTGATCCAGGTCAAAATGACCCTCCGGTAAAATTTTATAGTTAGTGTGGACCGGAATTATGTTGATGCCAACCGGGGTTTTTTACGCTAAAAACCCGGTCGACATTAACATAATTCGGCTCGCAATTTTAAGAGGGTCATTTTGACCCATGTCAAAATAGAATTTTCCTTAAATTTATGCCTAAATGCTAAATACATAAAACATCTATGAAATGGTCGTTCTTGAACATTATTCAGTTAAACATTCACAATAATTTTTAGGATTTTATAATTTTTCGCCTATGCACTCATAAGATCATGTGTATAACAAAAATAAATAATGCGTTACGTAACAATATAATAAATATTTTAAGAGGAATGATTTTTGTACATCAGTTTCGTGTAACTTCATGTACATCAATTTAGGTTTGGCCAATAAAATCACAATAT